GGGTGCGTACCAAAAGCTCCATCCCATGGCAGAAAGATGTTTTTTAGCTTTCAACGAAATTTGACGTGAGTTTGTCATATGTCGAGTTGATCTTTCATGGCACCACCTTAACACAGCATCAGGGCAAAATTCAGCGTCAAAGAAAACCATGGCTGACCCAATGAAAGAAGAAGGTGAAGACCATTGTTGATTTGTGAAAAAAATTCGTTATAAGTAGGCATCTATGCCTAATCCTATAGATTTTAGGATTAGAGAATCATTAGGTGACAAGGAATGAATTATTGTGTTCTATTTACATTGTAACTTTCTTTTATTTATTTATATATAACAATTTAAGAATATTTTAATTTTTAATAATTTGAAATCTTATTTTTTTTTAAATATCTAAAAATTAAGTAAAAAGAGTAAAAGTAGAGTAAAATTGTTTAAATCTTCAAATGAATATTAAATTTCATTATTAAATGGCATTATATATATAATATAATTTTTATTTTGTAATATGACTATGTTGTAAATATTAATCGCAAGTATTGTTATTTTATAAGAAAATATTCAGCAAATTTAATATTTAAACAAGACATATTGATCAAATTTATAAGAAAATAACGTAAAAAGAGAATACCTTTTTATATTGAAACTCTTTTTTCATTGATTTAATAACGAAAAACCATTTACATTTACCAGTTAAAAGGATTAGAGGACTCACTCCTTGTACAAGGAAATGCCAATAAGAAAAAACTCACCTCAAACAAACCTTATGCAGCCAAATCAAATTTGCAAAATCAAAGTGAAGTTGTTCGACATTTTCAATAATAATGTGTGGAAAATAATTTCGGGTTGGAAAAGAAAAAAATAGTCTTCAAACAAAGAGGAGAATAAATTCTTAATAATTGGACTAAAGCGACTTAAAGTGTAAATTAGAACATGAGTAGACTTTCGTCTTGATTGATTTGAAAAATTAACAAATTAATAGTATATAATTAATATAAGTACTTAATTAAATAATATATTTATTTTTATTTTTATAATTAAATAGTAAATTATATTTATTTTTAATTACTAACATAAATGTTTGTACGTTTTATATGTTGAAAACAAAAATTTATGTTTTTAAAGGAGGGTGGTTCTAAAGAACACAAAGAAACAACTTTAAATTAATAATTTCTTTTTCCATTCTCAATATTTCTAGGTTTTTTCTATACTATTTCACAGCAGAAAAATCAATAAAATTTTTGTAATCTTACCATATATCCGTGAATGCACAATGGATTGATTTCGTTAATGTGAAATGTAATCAATCATTAAATTTTATTGTATCTTCAGAATTTATGGTTTGTAACTTTTTGACACTATTAGTATAGAGCTTAATAAAACGGTATTATACATGCCCTGAAACTATTTTATTGTTCTTTGTTTTTTCCAATTTTGTGTTCTAACAGGAGTAGTTGGTCTCCAAAATAAAGTACCCTGGTCATAAATTTACACTACTTTCTATTGACATTGCTGTTCTTTTATTCACCATATTAGCTGCCATGGGAACCTTGGTGCTGGCAGAAGTCAAATGGTTATGTATCTTTGTAGAGTATTGTGGAGAGCATATTCAAAACCTTATAGTGCAGTTCTATGACCACATCACTTTTAAGTTTTACAGTACCAATACTTCATTCTATCATCAATATATGGATCTCTCTTCTATGTTGGAATGTAAAATAACAACTTTATCAAGGAATTTGAGGGGAAAGAGAAACGAAGTTTGAAACTCTATCCATATTCAAATCCTCAAAAGCTGTTCGTTCATGAACCCAAACACCACTAGTTTGCAGTTGAACATTGGTGATAAGAAAGTCTGACTTTGTTGGACTTGTGTTTACAATCCAAATGGCTCAAGGCAGCTCATTTTGCTGCAACAGAAGGCTCAGACAGGGCTGCAGTGGAATACAAAACTGAACAAGCTATTTGCAATCTAAAAACAAAGCTTTTGGCAAGTGTAATCAGCTTAACAATGCCAAAGTTTGCAGGAAAAACAAGAGCAAATGAAGGTGAAGTAAAATCAGAACTGATACAAGCTTCAATATACTCTCACCATCTCTGGTGCATTGCCACCAATAATTCACATGCTTGACAAAATGTCTTAGCTATCAAGACATTAAAGAAATACAAGCTGACATTACGATATATGGGGACTTGATACAACGATCAAAACATATCAGAAAGCCTTAATTCTAAGTTTTACAATCCTAGACTGCGGAGGCCAAAAACTAAGCCGGAAATTAGGCTGACCAGGCTACACCAATCTTGCAAGCAATGTGCACCTAAACATATCACTATCTGATGCAACATTTTTCTGCAAAGTTTGGTCATATACGAAAAGACAAGAAAAGCAAAAGCTCACACAGCAGGGGAGTAAGGCCTGAGCTGAATGGTGACTTCAACAGGCACAACCAAACAAACTTGATTCCAAATGCAGCAAATATACCTCAATTTAATGCAGGAAAGTCAACAAAATTAAGCTTTAACAAGATAAGAAACAATGCTGCCAACTTAGAGTGGGTTTCATGAAACAAGTAATCTGCAGAAGACTAAAGGAACTCTAGAACCAAGTAAATTGGCTTGCGAATGGCTGTAGCTGTTCTGCTGTGTCAGCAGCAAAGTCAGCCATGCATCAACAAAATTCAAAGTAAAATTTTATTCTTAGAAAGAGTGGAACTACAAGAACAACTATCATTCATCTCATCAATTATTTGTTCCACATGTAGTCTCAGGAGGATTTTTCTGATGAAGTAATTTAAATTGGTATAACAAAACTTATATATATGATGAGCTAGGGCACTGACATCTTAAACTGTTTTAGCTTTACCTCTAATTATATAGAGATCTATCTTAAGAATATGGCTGCTGGTGGATAAACAGGGTTCTTTCAGGATGCTTTCTTAAGTTTAATTGTTCTTATATTTGACATATGTGTTTTCTGTGTGTGTGTATGTGAAGTTATTTGATTTGCTTATTATTCTTTCCCCTCTATTAAGTTTTCCCGATGCTGTTATTTATTTAATTTTTTTGAAAGCCTTTCAAAGTGATTTCATTGCTTGAAGAAAGAGTACAAAAACAACCTCATTTAGGTAGAAGAACAGCCAGATCATGTAGGACAGGCCCTAGCATGAAGTGAGCTGTGTATAACCAAAGAAACAAAACAAAAACTGACAGAGTACCACTAGAACAGGTGGAAAAAGAGAACCATCATCCTAGAATCCGCAAACAGCAACTCCCTGGCTAACCAAAAATATCCCAGTGAGCCTCAAGTGTCTTTCTGTCAGATTCATAGAACAGGCAAACTGTAAGTCAGAACCAGAAGACAAAACCCAGCCTTCACTACTCGGGCCAAAGGGAAAGTCTCAAACCAACATCACGGGATTTCAGCAGCCACCCATTCAGCTTTTGAACCCTTAGACAACCATCACAGCATTTTGTACCCACCGTAGCCCCCTGTTGTGCAAAGAAACCAACAATCATCATCAGGACTCCCATTTCTCTTCAATGTCCCACAACTCAACATAAAATCCTCATCCCTTGACGACATAATCCTTCAAAGCCACCATGAATATTTCACA